CATTAGCGGCGTCACTCTCTATCTCACTCACACTTCGTAGAATAGCTCTCTCCGTCTCTCTCATAGTTACCGTTAAGAATTATGTCATAGTTACCGTTCCGAGCGAAGGATTGGGTACACTAAATAAATTTAAATTAAGAAATAAAAAATAGTTGAAAACCGGTTTTGTTCACAAAAAAAATTATTTGACCATAATCTAAGAAATAAAGTAGCAAGTGTAACACCATTTTGGAATCCTCTTAAAATGCGCCAACTTGTAAAAAAAATTGCCCAACCAGTGTAGTACATTTTTTTTTCGGTAGAGTGAGTTGAAATTGAACGAAAATTCAATTTCTCTTTTGATATGGGAATAATGTGTCATTTTGTTTTCAAAATTAGAGCAGTTGTGTCAAAATTTTAGACGACTAGCTACAGGAGCATTACTCAGGGTTACAAAATAATAAAAAAATTAAAATAAAGTGGAAATTTGTAGAAACGGGAAGTGAAAATGCGTCACAGGGTGTATATTTTTCGATTTTTTTCAAAATGGTCATAATTTTTAAAATACATGACATAGATTTTATTTTTTATTTTTCTGATAACAGTTATGACCTGGCCTATCACCCCGTTCCGGCTTGACGTCGCGTCCCGGGACACCCTGTATATTTTCTTGAATCTTCACAAGCTCTACTATAAGGCATTTCAGGCTTATCAATTCTTTACCGGACACCCTGTATATTAAGTATTTCTAAGAAGCTTATCATTTTGGATAAAAAAAATAGAGCACATAGAAAAATTTTTTTCGACCCAATGGGACTTGATCCCACGCCCATGCTGCACCGTAGTATTGCCCTTACCAACAGAGCTAAGGGTCAAATTATCGAGTTGTCGAAAGTACGTTCATAGGCCTTTATAGTGCGTTAATTAATTGTTCGTTGTCTTTCCGCTATTGCCGCTAGATGGCAGCGCGTTGACTGAAATTTCATTTAAAAAATCAAAACGTAATTTGTAATAATAGGTATTACATTTTCAACATGTTGTTGAAAGCAATATATAGCCCGCGGTTTTTTTTGGAGAGCTAAATAGACATCTTGAATTTGTCGTCGTTCAGCTATTGACCGCTAGATGGCAACTATTGATTCATTGTTTTAAATTTCAGTATAAAATCAAAACGTAGTAATTTGCAATAATAGGTATTGATCTTTTAACGATTTGCCAACTGAGTAAAGCTTAAATTATAATAACAGTCCAGAATTTGTTACATCTATTTATGTTAGAAACTACGACTAATCATTACGAAGAACGACGATCATACTGCACCGTAGTATTGCTCCTACCAACTGACCCACGGGTCAAGTTATCGAGTTGTCGAAAGTATGGTCGTGGCTTCAAGTACCATCGGGTCGATTAAAATGTTTCTGTGTTCCGATCTTTGGATTAATAATCATAATAAAAACTAATGGAGCTATTTCACCAAAAAGTCTCAATATTACATCTGATAGTTTTTTAAGATTTAATAAGTTATATTCATTGAACTACCAAGAAGTGGATGTCGGGCCCGCGCTTAAAAGCGTTTTTTTTTTTCATAATACCTATATAGTGACGGGACGTAAAAGTCTTACACTTGGTACCAAGCGACACGCCTGCCCATAAGAGTTGCAATGTTATTCAGAGCTTAAAATCGCAAAGATCTTAGGGGCACTGCGACTGCGCCCGTCACCCTGAGACATAAGTTGACAAGTCGCATGTGCCTGTAATTTCACCAGCACCCTTACCCTTCAAAACCGGAACGCAGTAATGGTCACATTATTACTTGAACGAAGAAATATCAAAAGTTCACAAATTATCCTTAATCTCTTTTACACTACCTTTTTTTTTTTATTATTGTGACTCGGCAAAATGACTGCACCGCGCCTGATGGAAAGTGCGAATACAGTCCGGAGATGAGATTAACGGATGGAAAACACAAATATCTTCACTCCGTCACTATCATTTTGCCGGTCTGGCCAAATGCTTCTTCACACTACGTTTTGTTAGGCGGCCGTTCCGATTTGTCTTTTTAAAAAAAAAAGAACTAAGTTCCCAACACCCGATTTATTGCAGAAAATTACACTCAATATATAACTAACTGACTTCCCGATTCCCGGAGCGATGTACCGCTCTTTACGAGTGCCAATGTCTAACTGCCTTGATTTGAGGCTTACGCGAAATATGAAAACTTGCACATTGCATTATGGAAAAGTACAGCTTTAATATAAATATCAACCTTTGCAAAATACCCATATTAGGTTGGGTTATAACAGTTTGAAGGACCCGATGTTATAGAGGGGAGGGAATACATGCGCCGGGAGTTGGTTCCACAATTTGATGGTTCGGCATAAAAACGAATTGCCAAACCTGCCTCCAAAATATTTTTCCTGCCATAAATACTATGTTTTATAGTTATAAATATAAAAAGTTACAATGATAAAAAGTTTGAAATGCCATTAGTGTAGTATTTTTTTGTCATTTATTGCATATATTTTTAAGTTAAATCCACTACAAAAAACATTATTTCCAATTTCCAGGTTGTAAATACGAGAATTTCCCCAAAAGAAGCGAAACTGTTGACTACACAATTGAAGAAATTAAAAATTGGTTACGAGAAGACAATAATATGATCGCTTTACATACATCTGCGAAGTATGGTTATGAGTTTGTTTTCAATGAAATTTATAAACAGCTGGGATTGAAGGTGTATGTTCCAGATGATAGATGGAGATTGTACAGGTATTTTTTTCATATACAACCAATAAAACTACCATTATATTAACAACCTCTGTGGCGTAACGCTTGACGTGGGCGCTGGATGCGGCGGACCCTGGTTCGATTCCCGGTAGGACCAATTTTAGAATTGAACTTTTCTAAATTAGTTCTGGTTCGGGTGTTCGGGTGTGTAAGACCAGGCAATTGGTGTAGTGGTCTGTTTATTCTGGCCTGCTACAAAACCAGGAAGAAAAAAACGATGGAAGGGCCTTAAGCCTCCATTATTGTCAGAATCGCTGCCGGTAGCACTCACACTATCATAATGTTAAAAACTATGAAATTTTGATAAAGATTGATCGTAGTTTCTAATTTGAAAAGATATAACAAGTTTTGGACTGTTGATATGATTTAAGCTATATCCAGTTGGCATATTGTTGAAAGATTTGAATGTTCAGTACCATCAATACCTATTATTGCAAGTTATGTTTTGATTTTGTACTGAAATTTCAAACAATAAAAGATAAAGATAAAGATAAATTTATTTCTGTATAAAATATTAACCTAAATACATACATAAATCTTATTAAATAACCTATTATTGATATATATGCGCCAAATTGTCGCAAACAATGAAATTATTTTATATTTACATTACTTTAATTAAGGTTAGTAGTGCAAATTAATCTAGGTGATACCTAAACTAAGTAAAATTGTTTACTTGTGTCTTAGGTATCTAAATTGGTGATTATAGCATAACGGTTAGTCAACATATTTTGTTCAATAACAATAAATTACAATAATACATAAATCTTAATTATAATAGCTGGCGTCTTAATTATATTTATATTACTTAAAAACAGATATAAAATTTTCAGTGTCATTGTAGTTAATTCTTTTTAACCATTCTTGTACGGTTTTTTTACATTGAAACTTATTCATAGTATATATAGATAGAGAACGACTTATTTTATTGTACAAATAGCTACCAAGAAAGCAAAAAAATCTGTGGGAGTGTTCTGTTCGAAACCGTTCAGTTGAACAAACAATGTCTGCTCGTCTTTTGCTGGTTTGGAGTGATGGGATATATGGTGTTAGTGAATGCTTTTTTATTACGGTTAGTAGTATGAATAGCTGGCGTATTGAAAGTACATCACATTTAGCAAGGAGTTCTGCTGTGGGAAAACGAAAAGGTCGGAAAGTGCTAACTTTCAGAATGGCTCTTTGTGCTCTTTCTAAATTTAGCAAAGTATTTTTATGGGAGCCTCCCCAAGTCGTTATGCAGTATACAAATAGTGATTGGCAAAGTGATAAATATACAGTTTTCAGTAGCTTTTCATTGGCGACATGTCTTAAATTTTTGAAAATATATATTAATTTTCGTGCTCTAACTGTAAGACTTTCGATATGGGCCTTGAAATTTAAATACTTATCAACTGTTATACCTAAATATTTAATGGTGTTTGTACTGCTTAGTTGAGGGCATTTACAAGTACTTTCCGATAGCGAGCCAAAACAGTTATGAGGTAATATTGTACATGAATTTAAAGTCGGTTGGGTGAGTGAGTTATAGGAAAACGTCATGTATTTAGTTTTTTCGGTATTTAGGGTCAGTAAGTTTTTTTAAGCCAATTATTGACAATATCAAAGCCCGCTTGGGCTAATGTGAAAGTGTCAGTCCAATTTTCAGCACTAAACAATAAAGCAGTGTCGTCAGCATAAGATATTATTTTACTATTGTTTGGTAGGGGGATGAGGCATAAATCATTAATAAAAATGAGGAAAAGCAATGGTCCTACGATGCTGCCTTGCGGGATGCCATATTCGACGGTCAGTTCCTCACTTACAGTGTCACCTATCTTAACGCGTTGAGTCCTGTCAGTTAAATAACTTCTTAGAAGATTATGTGCATGTCCTCTTATTCCTAAACTGTATAATTTGAATGAATGAATGAATGAATGTGCTGCCATCTAGCGGTCAATACCTGAACGACGACGAATTCGAGATGTTTAATTAGTTCTCCAAAACAAGGCGGCCATATTGCAGCATATTGCTTTCAACAATATGTTGAAGTTCAGTACCTATTATTACAAATTGCGACGTTTTGATTTTATATAGAAATTTAATTCAATGTGCTGCCATCTAGCGGCAATGGCTGAAAGACAACGAACGATTAATGTCTATTAACGTACTTTCGACAACTCGATAATTTGAACCATATTGCAGAGTATAAGGTATTATGTATTTTATATGATAGGGTAAAGTATAAACTATACTGTAACAAATTAGCACATTTTCTAGACAATACCTTTAGGTGTATCGTAAGGTGTAGGTAACGTTATTTAATAGTCTAAAAAAAGCTTTTTTCTCTTTCCCCTCCCACTGGAGGGGAAAGAGAAAAAACACCTCGCCAAAACTAAATCTGGCAAAAAGTAATTTCTGTATTTTGTCTTTCAGTAAATTGTCCAACGCGGTACCAGGCGTAACGAACGATCAGACCAGGATACATATATGTAGAAATTCAAATGAAAATAAACTTCATACGAAATGTATTAAGAATTGTGAGAATAAGAATTTTTTATACATTCATTTTTCAGCTATGAAATGGAGTAATTATGAAATTGACAGTAAATGCATTAATAAAGTTAATGCAAACAAGTTGGATGTGTGCTTCGCTACGCATTGTAGCAAAAGTGAAGTTTTATACTTTATAAACTATTTTTCACCGAAAAAAGTCGTTGGTTTTCCCATAAAATATGATGATAGTTCTGTATTAAGAGAATCTTGTAATATTTCTGTGGAAAGTAACCGCGAAACGAGAAAAAGGGAATGTTCATTCGACAGAAAAAGTAAGAGCCCTAAATGTGTGAAGAGCAAAAAAGTCGACAAAATGTTATTAAGAAAAATTTTTGATGATTGATTTATGAAATGAAAAAAAATAATGTATTTATTTTTATGGAATTTTTTTTTATTGTTTTATGTAGGTAATTAAGTTTTACCATGGACCGATAACTCGAGGGGGCTAACTAATCTCCGTTCTAGAGGTTGTAACTCTGGAAAAGGTCAAAATTTCGTCTTATTTCTAGATGGCGCCGAGCAGCCAGGATGTAGTTAATAAATTATGTAAATGGACGTGGATATCAATTAATTCCATTAATATATACAATATATAAGAACTAAGTTTTTTCTTGTAATATTATTCAAATATTGACCATGAGCTAAAATTCTGAACTTTGACAAACCACACCCCTCGTGGGAGAATGGCATAAGTGGAATTACGTCAAACTTGTTCATTGCTCCATTAGATACGGAAAATATAACCCACATCCTCTCCAATTCTTGTAAGTCTATCTACAATATCAGTCGATAGTTTTACAATAATTGAAGAGGATTGTGTTACAAACTAATTTATAAGCTAACGCTTCCTAATACGGGTAGATGGCGCTAATCCAAAACAAAATAAAAGAATGTAGCCAGCACTATTCATAAAAATCTGTTCAATAAGCGCCATCTAGTGGATTTGTTTGTTGTTACTAGAAATTAGAGTAGCTTTGATAAATTGCAGCTCGTCAATGTAAAAACAAGTTACAAAAATAGCTATTTGTTTGTTGCAACGTCTGATGTACAGGGTCAAGAGCACATCAAGCTTGACACTAAAGATTTAAATCCAATTCTATGCCGCTTACGATAAGAACGGTCCAAAGTAGAAAGTGACAAGCTTGATGTACTCTTGACTGTACCAATCGGTACTAAATACCTCTTGAGTTACAAGTGCATTGTTTTAACTGAAGTTTTATAGTTTAGTATTGAAATAATATAATAACATTTTTGAATAGTTTCCTACGTTAATCCGTTCATGGACAATACTTAATTAGTACTGCATACAAATATGTTACTATTTTTCTAGCCATAGTGCTTATGTTGAGTATAAAATATTCAATACCTGGTACTTGGTGTAACGGGCTGGTGTCCGCAACTCGACGTCAAGGCGCCTATTTTGCGTGTGGTGAGTGCAGAGTCCTACTCGTGCCACCGAAGCTCCTCCAAGAATCTCAGCTGCCTCGTCGGATTGCTGAAGACTTCGGGGAGCGACCTTGGCACTCCAAGGTACTTCGCCCTGTGGTTGTCCACGCCGGAGCACTGTAGTAGGATGTGCGCAGCCGTTTCCTCCCCCTCCATGCACGCTCTGCATAGAGGGCTGTCTGTGATACCTAAATTGAAAAGGTGTTTATTGTATGGACCATGACCCGTTAAGGCGGCAGTTAGAGTCCCAAGCTCTTGCCTTTTGAGTTTAATTAATATTCGTGATAGACTGGCATTTAGCGTTGGGAGTGCTTCCCTCGCCTGTCTACAAACCGTAAGGGTGGTCCATGTATTATTATGTGATGTTTTTGTACCTTTGTGTATAGTTGTTCTGGACCATTGGTAGGGGAGGGACACTATGGGTTCTGGTCCTACCACGTTCGTCTCCGACCCTTTTCTGGCTAGTTCATCTGCTGCGTCATTGCCACGTGAGCCGCTGTGTCCTTTAATCCATGAGTGCTTGATGGCATTCATGAATGAGCCCTGAGTTTATGTCATAGCTGTTCAGTGCTTGAAGTACTGACATACTGTCAGAGAGTATTCGGATGGAGTGATTCTTTACTCTTCTCGCTATGATTGCTTCTGCCGCCAACTTGATGCCCATGCATTCAGCCTGGAATACTGTGTTGTGGTCACCAAGCGGTGTTGATATCCTGATATTGAGGTCTTCTGAGAATACCCCAGTACCTGTTCCTGAATTTGTTTTAGATCCATCAGTGAAGACGCGGACCTCTTTGGGAACCCCAAAGAGGTCCGCGCCTTCACTTCATCAGTCCTTCATTTGGGATCTTCAAACAATTGTATCTTGTATTTTTTGTCAAAGATGTATTGTTTTGGGATCCTATCTACAGCCGCCTCCAGTAGCGGTTCCTCATTGACAGTCTTATAAAGGATTTCTGTATGTGGGGTCCTCATGTGCATCCAAAGGCCGGTTCTGTTTAGACGCACTGCTGTTGACGCCGCTTCCTGTCTGATGAACAGTGGGAGGGGTCGCAGGTCCAGCATCGCTTCGAGGGCCGCAGTTGGAGTTGTCCTCATGCAGCCGGTCGTCGCCATGCAAGCGAGTCTTTGGAATTTGTCCAGCTTCCGGTTGCGGTCGTCAGTTTGGTTCGTGGCCACCATACTATCGCGCCGTAACTGATCATGAGTCTTATCACTGCTGTGTAGAGCCATAGTGTTATCTTGGGTGAAAGTCCCCATTGTTTACCTACCATTCTATGGCACTGCCAAAACGTGATAGTAGCTTTTTTAATTTTGTTGTCCAGATGCTTGTTCCAATTCAACTTGTTGTCCAGTATTACTCCCAAGTACTTGACTTCGGTTGATATCTGTAGTTCTGTACTGAAGAGTTTGGGTAGTAGGTAGTTACCCAGTAGTCTTTTGTTTGTAAACTTTACTAGTTCCGTCTTTGTTGGGTTTACCGATAGTTCATATGCCCTGCACCATCTTTCCAAAATCCGGAGTGCAGCTTGTGTAATGTCGCAGAGTATATTGGCATAATTTCCTGTTACCAGTATAGCTATGTTATCAGCATGTCCTACTGTATAGAAATGTTCGTTGTTCAGTTTAATGATGAGGTCATTTACGACCATGTTCCACAGCAGAGGCGACAGTACTCCTTCTTGAGGGCATCCCTTCGCTACTATGGCCCATGGGGTCTCATTTGCTGTTGTTTTTATTGTTCTTAGTTTTAGCATGTTGCTAATCCAGCTGATGAGCACTTCATCCATCGTGTCTTCTCAGTGCTGATTATATGCTGGAGAAGTTGGTTTATCGAAAGCTCCTTCAATATATATAAACGTGCCTAGGCAGATTGCTTTGTCTTTGAGGGCCACTTCTATCTTGCCCACAACGGCATGTAGGGCCGATTCAGTGGATTTGCCTTGACTGTATGCATGTTGGTTTCCGTGTAGTGGTATGTTTTAAGCGCTCCATCCCTCAGTTCTCTGTCACATAACCTTTCTAATGTCTTCAAGAAGAACGATATGAGGCTGATTGGTCTGAAGGACTTCGCGTAGTCGTAGGTAGTCGTTTTTACCTGGTTTCGGTATAAATATGACTTTTACCTCTCGCCAACTGTAAGACACATAACTGAATGCTAGACTGGCACGAAATATGTTGACCAGGTGCTGGACCAGTGTGTCCCCGCCCCATTGTAGGAGTGCGGGGAATACTCTATTTTGGCCTGGAGCTTTGTACGGTTCAAAGGTGTTTACTGCCCACTTTATTTTTTCGTGTGTTACCACTTGTTCAGCGTATCGCCAGTTATGGATCGATGTGTTGTAGTTAATTTCTTCGCACCTTTCGTCTTGGACAAACCTACATCCTGGGAAATGTGCTTCCAGTAGGGTTCTCTCCGCGTCCGCAGGGGAAGTTGTGTATGAGTTGTCTATTTTGCGTATTGAACCTAGCTCAGCTTAATTTGAGTTGCCTAGGATTTTCCTTATTCTGTTCACTTGTGTACAAGACGTGATGTTCCCGCAGTAGCCTCGCTATAACGCGGTGCTCCAGAACCGTATGCGCTTTTTTAGTTTAGATTTGGCAGTCTTGTAGTTTTCCCAGTCCTCATCCGCGCATGTGTTCATTACTCTATTGAAGCGTCTCCTTACCCTTCTTCGTAGCCTCTCAAGCTCAGCCCCCACCAGGTTTGGCCTTGCCGCAGGGCATATTCACTCAGTGGGTATGCGGAGTTATAGCTGCTCAATATGTTTGATGTCAGTTCTTTACCCTGTGTTTCTATCTGTGCTGTGTCCAGCAGTCTTCCAGGTGCTACCGGTTCCCCCAGGCTCTGGTGTAGTTTGTCAATGGATAGTTTACTATCGGTTTTTCGGGGATTCCGTTTCGGTTGTTGTTCTTTGATGGTTGTTTCTAAGCTGAATCTTATCCATCTGTGGTCCGAGAAGGATGCTTCTTCGGACACGTGCCTGTCTTGGACAAGATTTACAGTCCTTCGGACGCTAGGGTCAGGTCTGTAATCACCCTGCATCTTTTATTTACGAAGGTTGGTACTGTACCTTTATTAAGGATTTGAAGGTTAGTTGTGAATAAGTATTTTGTTAGGTTCTTACCACTGTCATTTGCAAGTTCCATGCCCCACAACGGACGGTGGGCATTGGAGTCAGTAGCCATGACGATGTGCTGGCCACTCTGCTCGCAGTATTTGATTAGCCGTTCCATTTCCTGCGGTGGTGGTACATCAGTCTCCGCCATATAGACAGAGGCGAGCACCACTTCAGGCAGGCCCGTGGCCGTATCAGCTAAAAGCTTGACGGCACACAGGTCTCTGGAACAAAAATCTGTTAGTGGCTGTACATGTAAATTTTTAGAGTAATATATGCAAGTTCGTGGTTTTTCTGAGATGGTAGTTGATATCAGCTTACCTCTCATTTGTGAGAGTCCATGTATTTGGCCGCGGGCACTGATTCACGGTTCCTGGATCAGTGCCACGGCTGTGTTGTTTGCCTCCAACCATTTCCGGAGTTGAACCGTTGCGGCCTGACTGTGGTGGAGGTTGCACTGGACGATTTGTACTTTAGTGAGCGAGGAGGTAACCGCCATTAGTGGACAGCAGCTCCTCATCTTCGTCCTCGCTCAGTCGGATGTCTCCCATCCCCGACACGCACTTGTCCGCAGAGACGGGGGTCAGGGAGGGCTCCTCCCCTTCTCTGGTGATGCCAGAGGAGGTAGAGGGCTCCGGGGAGACATCCATCGGTGTTTTATTGATGCCCGCCTTCTAAGGCGGCGTGTCCGTGTACAGGCCCCTTTTGGATCTGAACCTGAGGTAGACCGTGCCTAACTAAGAAGGGAAGCGCCGGTCATGCCCCAGGACAGCCGGGA